ATATATATATATATATATATATATATATATACCTATCGGTAGAAGATGATTATTTGAGAAGGTAAACTTACAGTTCGAATACTTCATTGATCTTCTGTTTTCATTGATGCCGATGGTCTCACCTACAGAGTGATAATGGAGAGGAAAGACTATAATATTGATACGGGAAAATTAATCATTTGTTCAGTTTTCAGTAAATAGCTGACTCAAGAAATCGGATTGTTTCTGCTGAACAGCGAAATAAAGGAAAAATTTAGCCTGAAAAATGCATTATTTCTCATGAATAACGGGAATACTATGTCGTTTTGCCTGTTGATTCCTACATAAATAACCCAAGTTCCCCGTCTTCTGAGGGAAAATGTTGTGGACCCATGTTGCAATTTCTTTATAAAATTATATAGTGTTTAAATTATGAAAACTCGGCTTCCATTCGTTTCTTAGATATCTGTTGGTTAAAGTGAGTTTATGGGGTAAAATCCCTTTTTCTTGTATTATTACTGCAAATCTGAGACATAAAGAACATACACGGTGTGTCAAAGCCATCAAATTGAACAAAAATAATGGTGCTCATCGAACGAATTTGAAAGGGGCCTTCTTTGCACACTTTCCGGGGACGCCAAAGATCGTAACCACATATAACGACAGTTCTCCAGACTTGTTCCTGACAGAAATCGTAGAAGTGTTTCTGTTCAATTTGTGCTAAACAACTGTGCATCAAAGGTGCCTGATGTTCCAAGCAAAATCGTACGAAGTGTAACAATCGACTTGGTAGACAGGACTCACTTCGAACGTATGTCTCGTTTCTCTCAGACGTGAAGAACACTAGAATATAACATTGTTTGAGATTTATTTATTGTTTGGCTGTCCCAGTCGAGCACAGCTTGTACTCATGAACTGGCATAATACCTTGTCTCCTCTTATTCCGGCCTCAACAGAATCAATCCACAACAATAGTGCTGCTTATTTTCATCGCAGGTATCCGTTCCACCCGTAGACGTTCTCCAGCCGGTCGCATGAAGTAAGCGTTTGTTTTCCATGCCTCGTTTTATCTTACTGCACTTATCCCATGTGAGGTAAACACATCCATTAACTCTCTATTATTTTCCATTATTATTTTCAGCAAATAGCTAACTAACTATGCGGTAATTAGTACGCATAAACCATCACACATATATAAGTATAAACCATGAAACTAGCTTCAATATTCAACCTTTCAGTTCACGTATGAAATTATACGGAATAAAATAAGACCTATTGAGTAAAAGTCAAGATAATCATGCAGTTTTTTATGTTGTTAATTGAATGGTCTTTCAATATCACATTACGTGGACTGACAAATTATAGTTAATTGAACCCCAGGAAATGTCGGTATCATTACTGACTTACAGTGCACTAGAAGCTGGACTTCTGGATGGCATTTACCCGCCAAAAATCATTGCGTCACATGTGACTGAATATATTACTCTAAATATACTGCCCACTCAGTCACAGTGTTTTGATTGATGATATATGTGTTTTTTTCTAGTTACCAGGGAAAACGTTGTGATATTTTCTTTGGTATCTCATCAATGTTTCTTCAGTAACATTTTCTATGCAAGTCAGTCTATACACTGGGGCGTTGCAAAAAATTTGCTCTTGATTTATTCGAAGACCTTGAACTGATTTCATGATTTTCCAGATGAATTAAGTGGTCTACATTTACCAGTCTTTGTTATTAAGTACGTACAGGATTTAGGTCCAGTTATTGAGTGACTCGTGGCGGACGAACCCCTGGGCCGTAATTAGAGAACGCGAAGTCAGTAAACCACGTGTGCTGTGAAGAGTAACAGTCAAGTTCTAGTGAATACGTATACCAATTCGTAGACTATCCAACAACTGTCCAGCTCGGTCGGCGGAGATGAAATTTTCCGTCAAAAGGGGTCGCAAGCGCACGCAGAGCAGGGTTTGGACCAATGCTGAACAATAGACAAAGTGACAGGTTGCATGTGCAGGTAAAGCTAGATCCACTGTGTCATAGAATGGTTGGATAATGTGTGACACAGTGGGGGTGAATATGTGAATGGAAGCAGGTGGGATAAAAATGCAACCGACCTACTTCAAGTTACCGAGTCAAAGCAAACACCATCGGTGAAAGGAGCATTTGAGATAGTTTCCAGGGTTAATCGGAAGAATGCATATGGAGTAACAACAGTTGGACGATATTCGATTTAGCGTGTAAACTTTACAGGCCATTTGGGAATTGGATACGAAGTAACTGTTACATTGTATTAGGAATGAAAACAATAGTGGGTTGCTGCTGGCCAAATGTGTATGACCAATATGCACTGGTGGTGGACACAATTATTGACAAATAATGGCTACCGAGTAGGGAAGTGCCCAACCATAGCAACATTCAGGCCGCATGCAACACTTGTTCACAGCTTCCATTCCTGTCAGTTTTGCAACCACTTGTTAGTCCGCAGTCAAATCCAACTCAAAAAACGTTCATCACTGGCATGCACCATCGATAGGTACACCCTGCTGTTCTGTATGATATACTTTTGAAACAAGACACCGCGTGTCAGGGCAGATAACCCCGTTGTAAGGTTATTGATATGCGGCATTTTGTTTTAAGACCGACAGCTTCTTGGACGGTCTATTATGTGCATTGCAGATGACAAGTCTTTACACGGCGGAAAAAGCAATTTACAATACCCTATGGAATATAAATGATGCTTCCAAAGTTGGAACTGCACTTTAAATGTCAACTTGTTTTATTTCTGTTCATGCGGCCAGTCAACTGCTACCCACTGAAGAGAAAAAGTGGATAAAAATGTTCTAGTGAATTACTTCGATATAAAACAAAATGGATGGTGTTGAAGAAATTGTCATAATACAAGTACTGCATTTGGAGTGCGAGATAATCAGACGCAGCTATACATGGTTTGGGTTTTTTGGAAAAAAAATTCAAACAATCTTACCAAAAACGAAACCCAAATTGAGAACCGACTTTGAGAGGTCACAATGAAAGGAAATTAAGTTATCATAATATAAGATAGATAATTTGCCCGAAGACAAAATTTTTTATGAAACGTGTTTACTTCATAAACTGGGTGCAGTCAACTTGGATATGCAAGAAAGATTTTCCCATACCGTATCCCGGAAATGAGAATCTTTGGAGCAAAGTAATAAAAAACAGAAAAATTGCTGAAAGCTAACAAAACTGAATAGAATGTCGATGTGAGTAAAGCAGCTTTCCGTCAGAAAGTGAACATCAACTTATGGTTGAATGAATAAATACAAGACGAGATAAAGTATCCAATGAATGGAATAAGACGAAACCCAAGTAAGTTAATATATTCAAAAATTACTTGGTTAAAGAAGATACCAGAAAGATAGGAGGAATGTGAAAGAGAAAGTTCAGAAGAGAGAGGTAGGGAGGAAACAGATAGATGGACAGGGATAAAGATGGATAGATAGATAGATATGAAGACAGAGATACAGAGAGATCAATATAGAGATAGAGATACAGAGAGGTAGAAATTAGGTGAATAGATAGTTAGATAGACAGAATGATAGATAGATAGATAGATAGATAGATAGATAGATAGATAGATAGATAGATAGATAGATAGATAGATAGATAGATAGATAGATAGATAGATAGATAGATAGATAGATAGATAGATGAATAGATGGATAGATAGATAGGTAACGGATTGTTAGCCAGAGGGATAGATAGAGTAAACGAAGGATAGATTATTGATATGTCGTCAGAAGGAAGATGGATAGGTAAATAGAAAAATGAATAGAGGGATAGATGAGCAGAAAGATGGAAATATAAATGGAAAGATTGACAGATAGGTAGACAGAAAGGTAGATGGATAGATAGATGGACAGAAAAACATATAGGCAGATGGATAGATAGATAAAGAGATAGATAGTTAGATAGATAGACAGATGAATAGACAGATAGATGGATAGATAGATGCACGAGGCATTATGCAGAAAAACACATGAAGCTACTTGTCAGGGCCATCCTGATATCCTACAAAATACTTAAATTTACGGTGTTGATGGCTGGTTCCATTTTGAGAAAAAATGGTTGTCTATCATAGAACAGCCAATCTGCTGGGCAACGAGTTGTGCATATAATAAATATACGGGTTAATTCGAAATCTGATTCACTCCATAATACAAAAACAAGGTTATTTCAAGAGCCGGCATTTCCACAAAATCCTTTCGGAGTTAGCAATTACTTGGGAGAACGCTTTGTTCATTGCCTATATGATACACTTAGGCTTTTGTTTTGTTGAGTATTCTATAAAATTTGTTCACTTACAAGAAAGGTGATGGTCGACCTAATCGGCCTTGCAAAAGTGTTAGTACTTGGTGTACGGAAAATACTCTGAATATTAATTAAAAAAAAGATAAAGACGTTGTTTCTCACCCCCGCAAGTTTACGCAAATGGTGAACATAATGGGATAGCCCAAAGTGATTGGTACAATTACAGCATTTTCAAAATTATTCCCGGGGTTATAGACATAACCAGCATTTTGCATGTTTTAGGTGTCAAACTTCCAGTGTGTTGTTGGATTTCGGTTCAAGTTAAAGTCATAATTACCACTCCGTTGAAATCCGTGATTTCCAAATGGAATTAAAATTTATTGTCACTAGTAAAATATTTGCAAATCAGTCAAACCGGTCACCGAAACTAAGAGCTACAGTTTTTTCCACCGGATATAACTGTCCTATTCCAATGATAAAAGGCTAACAAAAATTGTACATGCTCAAAAAGAGATGAATTGCAAGATAATTGGCACAATTAGAACACAGACCGATGAGTCGATTTTCATTCCTTCTCGACTTGTTCACTTTCATGCTTTGAATAAAAACCTTAGTGGCCAGTTTACACGACGTCTCTTGTCTAACTCACTATCATGCTTTTGGCGAATGGAACCACAAATCAAAATCTAGCTTTCATCGCGACACCTTGATTGGTCAAACAATTAACTTTAAAATGAACGTTCACTTGGAACACTGTGTTCTTGGAGGTTTTCTCAAAATGCTCACAATGGAGTGTCTGACAGTTTTAACCGCGTGCCTTACTATTTCGGGTGAGCTTGATGTTATACCATTCATATTTTCTGTTACGCAATTTGATGTTCACTTTTATTTTATGCAAATTATATCATGTATCCTTAGTGTTGAAAGATATTAAAAATCAGCTGAATGGCAATATACTGTTTTTCTTCGGAAATGTTTTTACATCACTCCGGCTTATAAGATTCGCTGTCTGGTGAAGGCGAGTTGGGTTTACTCCTCATACTATGAATTCCAGCTGCATTTGGTCCACAGTACCAACGTCTATTCGAAGATGCAAAAATAAGATGGATCTGTTTCAATAGGATAAATGCTTTTCCGTCAACAGTAAATCGTTAAGTCCTTCAGTAACTCAACTCTGTTGATTGTTATTTGTAATCCGTGACTCAGTCGAACAAACCCCCATAGTATGTGTAAAGGGTGTAATGTTCATTAGCAGGAAACCTTTCGTCAGCCCTTGATTAAGGATAATATTTCAGATTTGGCCTAACACCGAACTAAACGTCCCACTTTCCATGCAAATTATCTTCTATAAGATAATTCATTCTGGTCAGAATAAATGTGATAAAGCTGTAAAGCGCGTTTGTTGTGTTCCATTGAGGATGACAAGGGGTATCAATGGATATGGGATTTATTATCAAGCGGATAATGAAATCCCCAGCAATTTATTCCATAAAATAATTTCAAATGGGATTGGCCACTCATTCAGCAGTCTAGCATACGGTGTTTTTAAATGTTTTGCATCCATGGTTTGTTGTAGAATGTTTGAATGCTTTTCATCACATAGAAACAATAAATCTCGTGACATCTTCAGGCCTATATTCAGCCTAGGTATTTTTCTCGACGTGCACGTTTTTATTTAGCGTAACCAGTGTGCACGTCATTCCCAAGTGTACTTTGGTTTGAGTCACACTTGGTGAATTCTATCTGTTCGACTTCCTTGTATGAAGACCATTCTACCGAAGACCTGACGGTACGGCACATCAGATTCACTGACACATCTTATACACTACAGCTCTGTGAAGCTCCTACTTTTCCAACTCACAAAACAGCTTTGGTGCCAGGCATATGGTGTGCTTATAAAAAATTTCAACCTAAGTGTATGCTGTTTACAGGACAATTATTACGTGGTTAATGAAATATGGACTCTTTATACGGAGAATAAGAAAGAAGAGTAGAACGGTTGTAGGTATTTGGATAACAGGAGACGCTGAATTAGGAATAGTTCTCTTCTTGTTGCCGAAAATTACCTATCTTTCCCACCAAGCATTTTGGGAAGAAAATTATTTCAACTCTTCACGGAGTCAAAAATGAAAGTAAACAATCGACATACTGGGTTTGGATACTCATGGGAATGTTTAGCATTTATGGAAGGTACACGTCCTCTGTTACAATCATAGATCATATTTTGTTCAGAAAATATGCCAAGAACGATTAAATGATGTACCAAGGCCCCATCGAAATACATTCAAGCATTTATATGGCAGACATTCTGCGTAGTCCACAGCATCCTTAAAAGCACGACATTTTCAAATATGGAAAACTCATGTGAGCAAATTAATGCAAGGCGTACTCCTAAACCAGAATATTTTCATGATGGCATAAGCGTAATTGTTTCAACTTAACCTGCAAAATATTCTATGTGGTTGTTCTGAGTTGTAGTTATTCACAATTTTTGAACATATCAAGTTACTCAGAAAAATTTGAGAAAAATTCGATCCTGAATGAAACTTGATTACTCAAAAGGGAGACAGTCTGATTCCGATTTGAACTTGAAACGAGTATATCGCAGTATGTAACTGAGCGCGTCATATTTGGAGACATTTTGTGACGGCGTGTAATAAAATGTAAGACAAAACTGATGCTGTGGGCCTATTGTTGATAAAACTATCCACAGGTTTTTCTGAGAAATTCAGGTATCTGTCGCTTGACTGTGTGTGTTTCGGCACACTGGAGAGGCTCCGTGTTACGCGAAGAAAATCACTAATGAACTCCGTAGTCAAGTTCGCTTGCTATCCAGTCGCCTGGTATTGACGAACGAACGACGACGCGGGCCTGCGAAACTGGGGAGATTTTTCACGTTGATCGACTAAATGTGACTCATTCCTGATTTTGACGACCTAACAAAATGTGTTCGGCTTGGTTCTGCTTCGGTAGATAGCCGATCAACCGCGTGTGAACTGGAGAAATTGATGTATTTCGCGCTGTGGAATCGACTTATTGACAGAACCACACAGTAGCTGCCTGCAGGTGTAACAGTTGGTTTGTTCGACTCCGTTGTTATGTCGTTTGCTGGATGAATTTAAGTGATGAGCCGAGAATTGCTTTCCGACATCGCCTTAAATTGGAAGTCGAAAGAAATGCTACAATTTTGTACAGAGGTTTGCCTTTCTATTTTCTCAACCTGAATGCCAGGCACTTTAACGAGTGAGCCGGGTATTCGTTCAAGAAATTGATTGATTTCTTATTTGTATTCCCTCATCGACCTGGTAAAATCGTAGTTTTCCATTGAAAATTATCTGTAATAAACCAAAACCATCTATTTGAGGAGTCAAAGCAAAGGATTACGGAAACATATTTCGAAATTGAGCTATTCTTCAAATCACTACGTGTGAATAAGTATGACCTTAGCTTTAGAATGAACATACATTTTGACGCTAAATTTCAGCATTAGGCCAACGAACTCGTGATGATTTTGAAAATCGTGAGTCAGTCCTGTGCTACCTGGAAGTTTCGAATTTATGAAAAAAGGAATGTGTATATGAAACTAGCTCATAACCATCCAATTAACAAATTTAATAGTCATGCCTAAAATTTCTGAATGCCGTTGAAATTCGGAGCTCAATTTGATGCCTCCTATGGATATATTCAATATTCACATGTTATTCTCCATGTGACGAATTGTGCACTGCTCCAGGAAAGACTAGACAGGACTGTGCCATTGTTTTCTGGATACTGCTCTTTAAACTCGTGAATTTCACTATTGTTGTGCCATGACGTGAAAATTTGTCACTTCAGAGGAAGATAATTTCACTGAGGCCTCAGAAAACTTCAGAGGTTCAGAACCGGGGCAAGAAATGTTGGATGGAATGATCAGATCCCTTGGGTGAAATTGCGTGCTTTTTTTACAATCATTTTCGTAGACTACAAAAAGTTGTTAACCGCTACTTTGCATACTAGTGTACATAACTCGAAGATATCATTACAAAATGAAACCTTGATGACATTTCATATTATGCATTTTTTTAACTTTATTCCACCGTGTGAACGATGAATCTACTGTTAAATATTTGTTACTACATCTCATTTAAAATATTCACCGACAGTTTCCACAATTTTACAACACCGTGAGTTCATTTGTTGAACAACTACAGTAAACGGATTTTAATAATCACGTGATGGTGTTCTTAAATATCCAGATACATTGTTATATTGACTGAAACACTAAAAAGGATTCGAATAATCCGAGACCACTGTTGTGTTTCACCGGAATCAGTAACATTTTGCGTTCCTCGTACGAATGAAATCAATTTTTGCAAGATAATTTCGGACGATGCAGGTAGTTCCCGCCTGGCGACTTCCGAAATTACACTCGTGAATAGCATCGAATCAAACGGTTTTTTATTTTAACAGGTGTATGCAGTATTCATCTTTCACCAATCAGTGTGCAAAGCATGTATAATTATTTTTCAAGGTGAATGAAACGGATCCAACTATTGCAAGCGATGTACCTTGGACCTATTTATTACCCTATAGTCGTACATCTTATCTTTATAACCAAGAAGGAAGATAACAACACCGACAAGAATATCGCGCTTGTAAATCATACACAGAACGTATCAGCTGCTTTCCCCATTGTGACCAAAAGCTTTTTGTGTGCATGGCTTTCCTTTTGATCATACACGAGGGTTTTGATTGTATTTATTATGTATATTTCTGCTAGTAATAATCATAGTTGGTGTGAGAGCAAAGCAGCACAGATATAGGAAGTCCGTCTTGTGATGATTTCCAAAGTGCGAGGAAAGTTTCAAAGGAACTTAGTGAAGTTTGCAAAAGAGTTAAAGTACAACAACAACTCGTGTCCCTTGGAGAATGATACACTTTCTTGAATGGGACAGGTAAAACATATCATGAAATTAACATTAGGTGTCAACGCACCTTCGAAAATGTAGCGGAAAGCTGATAGCTATTTGCCCATGAGACTCCACAGAAATTGATTTTCAGAAATGACTGGTTTACGTTACACAAAATAAATCTCTGATTTTAGTGGAATACTAGTGCAAGACGGCCAGTACAGCTCTACTAAATCCTGATACAGATGACAAATCCTCGTTTCACCGATGATGTTTATTCAAATGAGTATCAGCAGATGCGAGATAATGAGTGATGCGTGAGCAGCCCAGAAACATTTTTTTATGTTCGAACAAATATACGAATAAAGGCGACGTTAACTTTCACAGTTTCTATCATTTTATTGATGCTACATCATCCGATAGGAATTTCAGCTGAACACATTCAGAGGTCACTTTTCAGTTGATAAACCTGTAGTTATAACAGTTTCAAAGAATTATTGATGTTTGAACTAGTATAGGAGCGCAACTGACATCATGCATTCTACAGATCTCATTTTCTTTTATACCTCTACAGTTAACCGAATGCTCTCAATCATAAAATTTGGACCTATAAAGCGTACGTAGAAATGTGCTTCATTTTCTTTTTTTTCAGTAGAAAAACCCTATCATTTATGGGTCAGCAATGTTTGACTAACGGAAGGCATGCATGTCCGTTTCGCAAAAACATTTAGTGTCATAACATTGTTCAAGACGATCTGATTTTCATGCAGTAACTTCAAATCCAGTTGACTCCAATGAGTTCAAGAGTTCATTGATTCTCGTAGGTGATTATTTCGGTGCTCGAATGCGATATACACAAACGTCATAACCCGTGATGCCAGTATGCATTTTTTATGTATGGTGTTTATCTTAGGATAATGGAATGGCTCGACTCATTCCCAATCGTGATAACTGGAATCGTTATGAAAATTGTCCACAGAATTTTGACACACAGCTTTGGTTGAACAAGAAACCGTATAAGTTTGGTTTTACTTGGTTGATTTAGTTTTATTTAGTTGTAAGAAACAAGAATATTGATAATGACTCCTCAACGCCGCAAATCAGTTGTGAGAGACTAAAAAATGGTTGGTTTGAGCCATTAGTATATTGCTGAAGGACAATTAGATACCGAACACTTGAATTTATTGTTTCTTCTTCAGGGATTGGTTTATTCCTGCGCGGGAAAACTCCTCAAGGTGCGTCCATATAAACGGTCATTCCCCTTTTATATGGAATGAACTGTTTTCTTTTTTGTAAATATTTGTCAGCGTCAAATAGTTGTATGCTGTGACGGCGTTTGCAGCAGTAATTTTTTTACTGCAGTAGAATTATCTACCAATTTTAAACGGTGATGCCTATTTAGTCACTGGTTGAATTGTCGTTATTGAAACAAATGTGAAATCTATCCCAGTGATTTCTAACACGTACTATTACAGGAAATCTATATATTGCCACTTATGTCAGTAAGAGCATTGGTAACCTTACATTAGTCAGTCTCATATATATACACCGCTCTCAGGTGAGGGTCTCTCCTCGGTGGGGCAACCGAATCGCATTGGTCAAAAGGATTAAGAAGTATATTGACAATCACCAACAGCATTCATGCCGCACCCATTGATCGTTTTCAAGACAGCCAAGAAAGAATGCAGGGGGGAGTTCAGCCGTCAATTGTGCACAGAATATGAAAGGAGGACAACAAGCTACGGGATAAGTGCAAGGAAATGGAAAATATCTCCTGTTCAATCCCGATGTAGTTTAGAATGACCTAGAGTAATATGAACTCAATCCTGGAAGACAACATGATTTTGTGTATTGGCTAGGTAATTCCTTCGTTTCACGAATAAAGGCCTAAGGACATGCAAAACAGAGCTGGGACAGGTCGTTCAAAAAACAACGGGACAGTTCCTTAATGGCTTGAGTGACACACAATCATGCACAATGAGGTTACCTGTCCCTTTGAACTACCCTGCATATAAGTAGAGCTGATAAATATTGATGGTGATGAGAATGTCCAAAACCCTCATTCTCTTCATCTATGAACAGCACATTTTATTTATGAGCAGCGAGCACGCATTGTGATATTATCATCTTTATTCAATAATAAGTTATGCGCGTTTTCCAACTTACGCAATACGCAGAACAGCAAAATTTCCAAAGAAAACAGTAACTCCGTTTGCATCAAATTGCTGCAAAATACGTTTTTCTTTGGGAGAAACACGTGTGGTAAACTTTAATCCATAGTTTGGCGATTACGATTGGAAGGGTTGTTTTAGTTCATCTTCCAGGCAAACTAGTTGTTATCACCACCAAGTCGTCCACTGGAAAAACTGTTTCTACATGATTTATTTGTCCACCGTGATTGTTTACTTAGGCGAAATGTCGATAAACTTACCAAGTGAGTTCTTGATATTTCTACCAGTTATGCAAAACAAACATTCGGAAATGGGTGAAGACAGGACAACTTATTACGTGTGGACCACCTTTTCATGCATACTGAGTAGTTATGCCGTGTGTGTGAACTGACAGTTATGAACCACAGCTATGATGTTCTTCTAAATGCATAAAATCACACATATATATTGACGTATCTGAAGATGCTTCATGATGTAACGTGAAGTTAGGATAGCCTCGCGACTCCAACATTCATACTTGTCTGTGATATTTTTTCATGTTTTTGCCCTTTTGTAACCAAGTTTATCAATTAGTTCGGGTTATTATGCAAACCAATGCTAAGTGAATTTTCCAAAGTTCGTGAATCTTAATCATTATCAAGGAACTAGAAAGAACCTAGCTCTGAAATGCTAGACTTCCATGTTTTTTCTGAAGGATTAATCACAGCACATACAATTTTCACATTATTTTTGCTACTTGCTATTTTCAGCGCATACTTTGGAATGGTTCCTAAGATGTGAGTCCTTGAGAGAACAATTATAATACATTTCCGATAAACTATGAGCACATGCTAAATGCATGTACTGATGTTAATTCACCCTTGTTCACAGGAAAAGCGGTCATTTAGGAGAATCCGTTTAAATTATTTACCTTGGTTGGGTTTATTGAATCATTTCATTCTACAGATAATCAAATGGTATGCACGACGGCCATCATACCACTTCATGAAATAATGAGGTTCACGCGGGTTTGAATTTGGTTCCCCTTGTTGAAACTAATGAAAATGCGTTGTTCTTGAAAAACTTTTGGGGTCCTGCTGATCATGACATTCACTAAGAGATTATTAAACTGAACGCATCCAGCAAGCAGGTATTCTTGTTTCTCAAATCCATTCACATCTTCACTGAAAAGAATTAGAGTTTTGTCCATGCTCGGTACACGTAAGCTATGCATTTTTGCGTAGGGAGTAGGGATGAAGTACTGCTATATTATATATTAGCATTCTCGTTTATTCATGCATAAAATTTGGGCTGTTTCCCTTCTGACAGAATCAGGAAGCCAACCATGTAAATTCTGTTCAATTATACTGTTACGTTGTAGTTTTAAATTTGTGAACTTCTTTTTTTATAATTTCTTTGTTTGTGGATATTTTTATTTGTTACTTCGGAGCGGGTTCCACGTACTGTTCTGAGTTTAAACTATACGGGAAAAACCAACATTGCGCAGCGGGCAAAAACGCGTTTAATCTGTATAATTTTGGTTTTCCTTTATATATACAGTCCTTTCAATACAAGATGGTAGGTTTTTATTCTTTTTTGAAAAATTGTGCTGTTTTTCAACAAAGTTGCATCATGTGTTCTATCATACTTCCACGTTTAAATGAAAATTCTAGTGCCCCATAATTACTGCAGTTAACTAACAAATACATTTTCATACCATGCACTAGTTTTAACCCATCAGTCCCCACATTGGATTCGACAATGACCGATTGATTTCTCAAGCACATCCATTTATTGGCCTTGGCAACTTTCCAAATGTCGTTTCTTGGTTTCCCACTATGTATTTAAATATTCCATATCAGTTAGAGCGTTACCTAATCTGTCATTAGGAATAATTTTCACCGTATATTGGTGCACGTTTCGAGTCAATCAATGTTTACCCAACTGCTGAAAAAAATGTTTTAGGTGCACTCAAACGATGTAAGCTTTCATGATGTCAAACGTATGCAGTAATCACGTAGTTTTGGTTACGTAACCTTTTCTGAAGATGTCAACTCCGGATTTCAATAAACCCATAAATGTAGATTCATAAGCCGTTGTCAACAAAATCTGAAAGGTATATTCAAGTAGGGCCATTTTCTACACGTCTGATGTCGATATTTGAAACTTGTCGTCCTTAGTCAAGAACACTGTACATTCGACCTTCAAAAGGGAAATTGTAGTGCTACTACTGAGTCACAATTGGTCTGCGGTATTCGTCTCCAACTTAAGCCTAAGCATCCATTTGCGCTTTGCTTGAGCAAAATACGACAACAAAGGCATTGAACTGTTGTCAGAACAACTAGCGGCAAACTGAAACGTGATTCCGGTGCATTCTATCAATTTTATGACGTGATTTTGAGTAAACAATTCCCTATGCCACCTTTTGGAGTACTGAGGCAGTCCATCCACAGGTGGACTCACGGACATGTCTTAGCAGAATTCGAATAGTCTTTTTGGAAAGCAAAATACAGGATAGTTAGATTTCTCGTATGTGGTGCTTTTGACATCAGGAGAAGTGTGCATGGTAACCAATTTGAGGACAATTCACAGGTCATGTCAGGTAGTACATCGTATTTATTTGGTGATGTAATAAACTTAAAACAATAGGAGAGCATTTCTATATCACTGGTAAAAAACAGCATCAAAATAAACCCATACCGATAGATTTTACAAAGTTATCTCTAATTGCAAAATGTTTTGCTTTGGTGATTCCGATCTAAAGTGAAGTTGAGCAAAGCATCTCGTAGTTAGCAGCAAATGCATTGTTGATCCCAAGAATTTAAATGCTTTTTCTCATTCACTCTCTTGCCACGTTAAATCAATAACTGATCAGGTTACGTAGTATGCCTCGCCATATGATTGTTCTAAATGCCTATAATTTCATCGCCTGTCGTCTTGAAACAAAATGGAGCAATTCCCAATGATGATGGTTGGACTCAAAATTGTATGGTTAGCTCATTCAACCAAATATCGAATGGAATACTTTCTAATGTTCCTTCTTATGTAGGCTAACAATTAGTCGTTTTATAATAGGATTGTGTTATTGACTCGCCCGTTTAGATCACAAAACTGTCCGCTACCAGTTTAGAACAAATTTCGAGAGTCCACTGAAACTTTGGGGCGGCATACAGGACCTCTTAGATGATTTATCATGTATCAGCGGGGCTGATGACACCAGCTTGTACCTATAACTTTGCACCACTCAACAGCCATCTCTCGAGCTATTGCTGCGACTCTGACCTAAATATTTTGTAAAATGCTTCTGTGGTTTCCAGTGGTGGTTTGTGTGGTACTAACACATGAAGATTCGTACGATAAAACATTTTTCTTGTATCTAATATTCGCAATGATAAACAAGCCCTATGGATTGTCTGAGTCATGAGTTACCTTCGCTGTACACAGATTGCTATAATTAGTTTCTAATACCCGAATCAAATGCTACGACAGGCAAAGGGGTGCTACCAGTAAAGGGCAATGGTCGGAGACCGAAATATAGATTGTATTTTTTGGAAAGAAGACATTTGTTACCCGATCACAAGCGACATAACACAACAAACTGATTCTCTAATGGTATGTTTAAATAAACGAGAAACACTTCCATCACAACAGATATTCAAGTGGAAGAGTCCAAAGATTTGTCTTAGAAAAATGTATGCGGTGAGAAATGTCACAGATGAGGTTTACTTCGAATATTGGATCACTTACACTAACTGCTTGAACTCATCGTAGCTGCTGTTATTTTGCTTTCGAAATTCCCCCTTCAGATTTCAATATGTTATCATATCACAGTAAGTAAATGGAAAACTTACGAGTCATTTTTGTGTTCTGATCGTACAACCTAACTTATTTTAATACATGCCTGGACCATTTGTTAACCAAAATATTGTAGGACCGATGTAGAAAGAAACACACAAGTGGAAACAGCTCCATAATCTGTATAGAGATACAGTTCAGAGGATGACATAATTCCATATATATACATGATCCGACAACAGGAGCCATAAGAGCTCCGATTTTACTGAGTATGAGAAGCTCACATCAATATGTTTAGGAAAAAAAGATATAAATATACATATATACGGTAACTATATCACTTACATTTATGCTCCCGATTTACCCATGGCCAGGAACTATCTCCTACTGGTTGTTGCGATGTTTTGCAGGTCGTCTCATGTTTGCGATCTCTAATTATTATAAATAACAATGCACTGATATGATGTAAAATTTAAGACAAAATCTTATTTTATTGAAGGAATGCAACACGAGGCACCCATAACAGTCAGTAAGTAAACCATTCCTATCGTTTAATAAATCAAAAAATGCAAATGGCAAGAGTAAAGTGGTTCAGCTGTACTGATTCCATGCGATAATCTCGCACCAAGTAAAATTTGTACGATCGATTCCTTTTATAATTTTTTAGCAACTCTAGAACTTACAAACTGAGTTCAGCTATTCCCTTATTCAAATGCTGGTTATAGAACGCACATTTCGTTCTAAAGGACACATATAAAAGTGGTCTTACAACATTTCTTCTATATAATGAAATTTCTCCCATCCGTTCTGAAGACTCGGATTTCATATAATTGCGTTCAAAACGAAATACTGAAGACTTCTGAAAATTCTCATTTTCGTAAACGCGACTAGCTGCTCATTGAACAGTCAAGTATCGTGTGACGTATGCCGCTTGCAAGCACCAACAGATTAATTTAGGTTGGAAGGCAACTTGGAACTCCCGTATACTACTCAAATATATCAATGCACAGATATGAATTGTTCACTTTCTACTGAGAGGCAACATATGGGAATAAGTTAGGAACAGTATTCCAACACAAAAATCCATTCGCATTTGTAGGCGATTTACCTCTGTATATGTGATATCCCGGAGGATTTCAGCTGATACAAACTTACTGTCTGTTCAGAACATTTTGATGTTCACCAAAACAAACTGTATATTTTAATAACTGAATCTCAGCTGCTTCTCAACTCCGCACTCACATGTTCTGGTACGGTAATTTGTATTCATTTGAAGAAATGTGCCAATCGATAAAAATCTATAGGGGCATGATCGCCGTTCGTATTTCGAATTTCATAAATTGGGAGGTCTCTCCAGTTTTCAAATACAGAATCGTTATGCATGTCTTCATCATTTTTTACCTAGCTTTTTGGACGTGGTTCTGGTCACTTTAGAACGATATCTTCACAATTTTAAATCTGACGTTCAACGAATATCAATTAGGTTTGGCAAATTATCGGGAGGAAAGACAACCAAAATACAACCGGAGTGAAAATCAGTGAAGAAAAGTTGAAATATACTGAAATCTCTTTTAGGGGTTTTCCGACAGGTATTTGATATCAACCGGATTGCACCTGCTACAATCTGTCCTCAGTTTCTCCTCAGAAAATAACTTCACTGACGTGAAACAGTTTACGGATATCGGCATACATTGGAATGCTTCCGAAATAAGAAGTTATTTTGGATCGACATAACGGAATGAACCGAGGACATTGACTTCCTCCGAAGAGTACTATTTCCCACGTATCGACAAGGGTGGCAAAGGTGATTCCACTGGCAAATTACCCTGATGAGTCTAACCGAATTTTGTGAAACACCATGAAAATGTTTTCGGTGAAAAATGGGAACGCACGAAAGTGAAAGCCGTCGGTTTTGGAGGAAAAGTTGACAGGACTAAATATACCATAAATATCAAATAAGATGTTTTTTAAGTGACAGTGTTGTTCTTTGACACAAAATGGTTGGCACCTAAGTAATTTTCTGAGTCACCAAAAATCCACAAATCGGTCATGCATATTTGCCTGATGATAAATCGCATTTCTGGCAACTACGGGGAGGAAAGATATCTCAGCTTTTAGTTGGAATTATATCAAAATGTTTCGGATATTCACCTTCATCACGCTCTGGAATTTGGTCACATTGTTTAGCACATTTATCAAGGTGATTGGGAATACACATTGAGCTTCAGTGTGACCCCTCTACTGGGCTTGTGAAGCTGCAAAAGAGTTTGGATGATAAATATACTAAATAATGTTTTGTGTCTTCACAAGAGTGAAGCCTCTGGAATCCTCCCGAACCTACCGAAATCTCAATACTTTGTTTCAATGCAAACTATCTTTAATTCAGGCTGACAATATCGACATGGATCGATAGAGCTGTCATCAAATTTTCTCTCCATGAATTTGCCACCAAGATTCTTAAAAATTATTCTAATCTGATGCAATGTATGGGTTGTAAAACCCTTCAACCAATGTACGTAGAACTTGTTGACGATATTTTTTGGCTATTAAGTCCAGGCACAAAATACGAGAATAACTGGTCTTTTCGGAAAATGGTGTGACGTGAAGGTCTCGATGAATATAGAGCGGGATTTGAAAACCTCAATCATGCCATATGTGAGAAACACCGCATAACGCGCGACAACATACAAATCTCCCAATGTTATTGAATTCATGTACCTAAAGGATGTCTGCCGACTTTTTCCCAATAAATATGCATTTTGCTTGCATCACATGAAAAAAGAGGCTGTGATACCCGGAATTCGGAGCGCAAAGACATTATTATTGAATAGCATTTCAAAGGTTACATCATTTGTTGATCTTGTGGCCTTTGAATTCTAAAAAAGTGGGTGACACTACCAATAAGTGTTACATACACATGCACATAAACAATTATACATATTGTTCGGTCTTCACCTGATTTTCAAGAGTGACGTATCAGTAATATTTCCTTGAGAACGTTTCCCAGCGCCCAATTAAACACCGGCTGACCAACATGTTTCCTCTGAAAATGCAAGGTCGTTCCCATTCTATTTTTTCTTGCGGTGCACATCGTTTTTCGAAATATTCTGAGTGTGGTTCCTACGTGGTTTACAAAACACCACGAATTACTAATGGCTGCCAGCAAAAATGAGCTGCAATGAGCACTACAGTACAAGTGTATTAAATTCTACTCGTATATACATGCCAAATTATTGTAGGTTGTCATCGAATTTGCAAATAGTCTCAAAATGAGCAAAAGGCTCCCTCAATCAAAGCAGCCTCAACGAAGTAAAAATTTACCCACAATCGCTTGTGTTTTGTTGCACATAAATACCATTTGTGAGTATAGTTGGCAGTTGGCCAAAACCGATCGAGATTCTGACTGCTTTTTTCGCTCAGGCTGTAATTCTGCATAACGAAGTATTTCTCCCTGATTCAATACAGTTTTGTTATTGGGCGACAATAATAAGGGTTCATTTTATATAACCGCTTTTGTAGAAAATATCAGTGACCTATTGTTTAAAAGTGAGTTATAGTTTTTGTCTTCATCTACTTATTGAGGGTAGCCAGAAATTACATGTCAGCACTGAAGACACTTGAAGTTGGAACACTACGTTTGTATGATATTTCAGTTGAAGTTCTAAAAGGTGAACGGAACCCAGCAGCAGCATCATCCGCATACCACCTCAAAATCCGTTTCGTTCTTTCAAGTTAATCATCATTGTCATTCCGCATCAATTCGCTTGACAGCAGTTGAAGTCAGCCACATTTAGGCTAACATGTTTGTCAAAGTGTTCTCGTTGTTTATGTGAGTAACACTCGCATTTATTGATTTGGGTAAAATAAGTCTGAAGCAACCAACCCATTGGAATATCCAACTTCCAATCTTTTTATTGGAACTTTATTGAAACTTGACTGAGTTCCTCCTTGCTGTGTTTCATTCCAATGTTCTCTACCCGAACAGACACAGGTGGGATATGAAATACCGTTATACTCCAGTCTAATAAACAGTTCTGTGAACTGTTTCTCTCACATCAATTTCTTAGCAGGGATCTTGTTGTTTTCAATTTCGAATCTCAAAGATTCATGATTTTTGAACAGGGTTACTTTCATGTGTCAGAACAGAGATCGGTTTGGAATGTGTCGAAAGATCGCTGCGCCATGTGAATTGTTAAGGTAGAATTTCATTGCTCAAAAACACAGTGTAGTCGAAATCGTTGGTAGGTCGTTGACGTTTCGGTCACCACATATAACCTTTTTCAAGAGTGGTTTTACAACCGGTTTACTTTCTCAGATATTGTCTCATTTTTATAATCCAACTGGTTCAAATCATTTCTTAGTCCAACGCAAATCTCACACGCTCTCCAACCAAAATCATGTCTACGTTCATTTATGTAAATCCTTAACAGTGAATGTAATATCTATCAGATTATTACAAATCTGAACTTGCTTGACTTTCAAACAGCATTTAGCGTACTTATTCTGAGCTGTTTGGATTCGTTCACTGCCATTTCGAATCTGCTTTCCAAATGTGTTGATGTACTTTTCTAATCGAACCAAGCTCACTAAAAGTTACACATATTTTGGGTAAATATGTATACTACTACCGAGATATAAGTGGAAATAAGAGCAAAACTGTGTACAATGTTGGTCGAGAGATGAGTTGAGTGATAGTGCAGCATCCAAAATCGGAGGTATCAATCACTGGACTGCCAGTCCATTTGGTAGTAGATAGTTACTCAATGCTTTATCAATCCCTAGCGTAGCTGACCCATTTGAGCATTATGTGGTACAACAATCCAAGTCTCGTGCTTGCCAACGGTCTCTTATGGAGTACATTATTTCCGTGCACTGTTTAGAAAGCATGTAGGAAACAAATCCAAAAGTCATGAACTTATATTTGCTCACAACAAACATCACACCAGTTTGGTTAGCAGTTCTTGGTAGGCTAATTTTACTCATTTTTCGGACGCGATAGTGAGGTCTTTTCTGTCAAACTAAACAGAATACTGAA